GATTGCCTCCCTGCTTTTTTCGCAACTGGTTCGCATACCCAACAGCGGTTGTCTCACTTTCACCCACTAGGTGGCAAAGTGTCTGTGAGGTCTGCTTTGAACTCCGGAAGTGCAGGTTCGATTCCGCTCGAGGGCAATCTTTGTCTTATTCAAGAATTCCCTTGCGCAAGGAATTTTCCACCTTGCTTCAGACATGGGTTGCTCTCGCGGTAGAGCGTCGAACTGAGAACCGATTGATCACAAGTTCAAGCTACCGGTCGGGGTCACTCACTCTTCTTCATTCCGAGGTTAATTAATCAGTACTACTCTGTGGATGCCACATCGCTATCGACTCTATCTTAAAAGTAATAAAGCACTCCTGGCTGATGGCATAGGAAGGAACATAAGCAGTGCACCATTAACTTCATGAAATGAATAACAGCGAAACGGCTCAATCATCAAAGTGACGGAAGACCGGCATTGCAACTTTGACCAGTTTTCCTTACTTTTTTCTGTTCATCATCTGCAGTCGTGGATGCTGTAGGTAGTACCTCACCGTGACTCAGCGAAAGGCTGAACCGGAAATGGAAATGCAGCCAGTCTCTTGATGCTTTCATGGACTCGGCTCATGTCATTATCTCTTGTTGTTGTTACTTGTTAATTACCGCATTGACGCGGCTGCATACAAACTTGACTGATTTCATTAACTTTTTAGGTATTGCCGAAACTCAAAAAATCTAAGGGCGGGCCTCAAGGAGCGGAGGTTTTGGGTACCGTCGTCGTCTGAAGTAAATCACTGTATTTGATCGATAGCCGTTCTTCCTAGGATTGCATCTAGAAGGGCCATTCATTAGCGCAGAGAAGAAAGGAGCCCATCCTCGTCAACATTTGATCGATGGCTTCGAAAATGGCTTCGCCGATATTTTGCAAGTTTATGGCACCAGCTTGGAACACTTCGCTTACATCACCTTGGCCCCCGAGCTTAAGAACTCGAAGGAGGTGATCGGCGAACTCGTAAATAGGCAGATTAAAGTATCTCTGGGTAAATATTTTGTTTTAATATTTATTATGCTCTTTTTAACTTTACATATGCTAATGTACTTGCTAAATATTGCATATTGTCTACTAAAATAAACCTATCCAGCATAAAACGGATATGGACTTAATCGAAAGCCTTCTCGAAATCAACGAAGAGAGGAAGCTGATATTCTTTGCTTCTCTGAAATACTTATTGTATCACGCGGAGATGATCTATCGTACTGAATCCTACTTGCTCTTTTGACTGTGCAGCGCCTAGGTTTTTGAAGTTTTTTGCCAATGCCTTTGTGAAGATGTTGTAAGTAATCGGTAACAAAGGCTTGTAATTCCTTAAGTCATCTCTGTTTCCCATTTTTGAACAGAACCCTGTCGTTGTAAGATAAATTAGCAAGAACATGAGGTGTGTAACAAAGTGACTAACTTAATGGATCGACAGCTGAATGAACTAATCGACTAAGCGAGTTCGTATGTATCGCTTTGCGTGTACGTCGATGGCTAACAACCGGCTATTTTTGGCGCGAATGCTCGTTCCCAGTACTTTAGTACTGTTCAGTTTACTATGCACATCTGCCGTCATGGCAAGTAATGGCGACAATGATATCTTGAACAAGCCATTAATTGAACAGGGCAAATGGACTTGGAAACTCTGTCTTCTTCCTTTTATGCCTCTCCATCCTCACCCTTTTCTTTCCTTTCTTTCTTCTATTTTTGTTCTTCATATTCTTTTCTTCGTTCTGCTTCTTTTTCTGTTTATTCTCCACATTCTTTCTTTTTATCTACCCCTTTTTACCTTTTCTTCGTTTCATTTTCCCTTTCTCTTCCTCTTCTCCCTGCCATCCTTACCTTTCTGTTCTACCTTCTTCTGGTTCTCCATCAATTCCTAGCTGTCGCTCCGTTCCTCTAACTTCTTTTGTCGCGTTCACCTTTGTCACTTATTTTTGCAGCTCTTCTGACAGCACCCCATTTGAACGAACTTCTCTACTTCGTGTTACGTTAAGACAGTTTCTCTCTTCTAGGCCATTCCGCGGCGTCGTTGAACATTGCTGAAGAGGCGATCCTCGCAGGGGCGTCCGGAATCACTCACTTATTCAATGCTATGTCACCGGTATTGTTTTCTTTTTCTGTTTATACCTGAACGTTACTATTGACGCTTTCTGCTTCGGTTCGATGCGTTCAGTTTCACCACAGAGACCCGGGGCTGATCGGCGTCCTGACTAGCAGCAAGATCGCCCATCTCCAACCGATCCATTACGGCATAATTGCTGACGGTGTACACACATGCGACTCGGCCATATGCATTGCGTACCGGACGAATCCTAGAGGTTTGCATTTGTTCGATGGATTTCTGTCGGTACCTGAATTCATGGCTCAGATATTCGTTATACCTACCTGTTTGACATATCTCGATGTAGTGCCAAGATTCGATTTCTCGCCTGGTCACACGAGCTATGGAAGGAAAATGTCATCAGTGCAGTAATCTTTTCCTCAACGGATGGAATATAATGAACGACTGGTCATTCAAAAGGAGTAGAAATAATTGCCCCCAATATATCCTGTGTTATAAGTGACGTGTCACCATGCGATGCAGTATGGTTGCGGATCTTGCTTAGGATTTATCAAATGTCGCACGTTTGTCAATCCATACCAAACTATTTAAATAGTGCACCAGATATGAGGCTATATTTGCAGAAATTTTTTATGAATTTCATTTGCATATTGCCTCATTCGGCTTAAAACTTTCTGTCAGAACTTCTACATAATTTGAATTCTGTTAGGTACAGAATATATATATATAGTCTTCTGATTTGCAACACAGCAGCGATTAGCGTCTACACGATTGATAGTAGCCGAGTTGAAACGCATTTCGTTTCGTGATAGTAAACACTTTGATTACGATTATAACCAATACGGTTTTAAAGTCCTACTTTACATTCAGGTATGATGTTGGTAACTGATGCAGTACCAGCACTAGGCTTGGGTGACGGCGTTCACCACCTGGGCGACGTGACGGTTGATATTCGAGGTCATCGTGCCGTTTTACTTGGAACCGATACCCTTGTTGGCAGGTCAGGTTGTTTTCTAACCTTGTTATATTACTGTGTATCATTTTTTGTTTTAGCGTATGTTCTTTGGACGAATGCGTCAGATATGTGATGAAAGTGACCGAGTGCAGCAAAGAACAAGCACTGGAATGTGCCACTTTGCACCCGGCTGAATTCTTGGGAATCACTGACCGAAAAGGAACCCTGGACTTTGGTAGAGATGCTGACTTTGTCATGTTGGACGAACAACTGTCAGTTGTGGCGAACTTCATTGCTGGAAAAAATGTTTTCACGAATTACGCCATGTCCAAGAGACCTGTCTGATGTTTTAAATGTGAACGCGCTTGTAGGCGACGCGTATTGCTGTGTTTTATCGTTAAAGACGACGATCTACAATTAGAGTCTCAAATCGACCTGTATACTTGCAAAAAATGCATCATCTGATATTCGACGAATTGTGTTTTTTGCTGTATTTGTCTATGTTTATATTTTACCATTAAAAATGAAAAAGGAAAGTTTATAACCGTTGGATTGTCGGTCTTCGTTATACTTTCATGATAGGGCTATTCTAGTGCCCATTTTTTATGAAGTTAATGGTGGGGCGCCGATCTTCAATTGCATGTCATCATCAAACCTTATTTTTAAGGCAGAATCTACATCGGCTATGTGACTAGCATAGCCTGTATTCTCCTGTTTCCTTCCTACTCATTTATGAGCCTCGGAAGGAAGGCCAGTGACCCTGACCAGGTAGATCCTGACCTGCCTTGGAGAGCTACCGTCGACTATGAAAGTTGTCACAAATTTTTTGGGTATACGAACTGTTTCGGTTACAAGCGAAAACTGACTGCGTTTAAAGCGAAACTGTTTACGATTATAAATATTAATGTTAGTCTGAAATTTCCAAGATGTACAGCGTAACCCTTTGAAGTGAATGAATTCAGGTCAATGACAGAATCTGGCCTCATGGCATTGTTACTTAATACGGGTTGCAGCAGGAAGTAATCTGTTTTGACGTGAATAGGGCAATAAATGATTGTCGCTAATATTCGCACTAAAGTTTCATTGTTATCTTGACCTGATTCATTATGAAGAGCAGTTTCTGAACGTGGTTTTATTTTGAACAAGTTGCCATGTCTTACCAATGGGTCACCCGAAAAGTATATTGTGGTAATCAAATTTTAAGGGAACATTTAATGACCAAGAAGATGCGAGTTCGAACCAATTTGTTGGCCTACTTATTGCTCTTGTCTGGTACCGGCTTGGTACGGGACCCGGTACTACTTATTGCACATTCTTTCGAAATAGTGACCGACATCCCCAGTATATAATGCCGGTTACGTAGACGTAATGAGTACCCAAAAATTATGTATTTTCAAAGTTTAAATTATATGATTCTTTGGCTTATGCATGTTTGCCAGTATCGTTTATCGAGTCAACAAGCAGGCTTTTCCTATCCGTACCCAGTTAGCAATGCCGTCTTTCAGTACAACCTTCCGGACTTCGTGATGGGCTATGCGCCGGTCGATTCTCAGCTCCAAATCCAGAACGGGCTGATTAAATATCAAACAACTGGTGGAGCAGGTGGAGCCTGCTCGAGAAAGGAGTCACAGGCGTTGATCGTTCCCGTCAGCACTTGGGTTGACTACGAGCGAATGCCGGTAGAGATACCAGGTTTGAATATATCTACATTCTTATGATTCATAAGCACTGCCATTCTGTAGAAAAGCCTAAGCTCAGGTCTTCCAGTCCGCATATTATCATACAGTCAGATTCAGAAGTTCGCCCGCGAGAACCGTTTCAGACGCCAGCTTCACCCGTGACCAGTGGCGCTTCGTATAATCCGTGCATGGGTGGTAAGAGGAGTTAGACGGTTTTGTTTAGCGATTCAAAATTGCTGTTTTCAAGGACGATATTCGCTGAGGCCCAAATATGACCGTGGTGTTTGGCAGATGCTGCCGCTCTGTGAGGAGGGTACACAACATCCTTCCATTTCTGTGCAAACTCGCTCATTCGGTAACTTTCAGCAGAAGCTTCCCGTCCTCAAGAAAATCCGCAAGG